TACTACTTATATCAATATAAGTAGCATGCACCACAATAGCAAAGCAATTTCAGTTCGTTACATTGATAGATGTAATAACTTGATTTTCATTACTTTCTCGAGTAACTAGCTACATAGTTATTTCACAAGAATAGTGTTTTTATATCGTGAAGATATCTTCAATACATATTGTTATTTTACCTAAATATAAGTACACGTGTAAATTTGCCTTCAGTATATCCATATAACATTTACTATATATCGATCAAAATCGCTACGATAATTAGCTTGTCCACAATATGACAGTAATATTTATCCCATTCTTAAAAGCACTAATGAGTGATAGAATCATAACATAACCACAATGTAAATCTGAATAAATCCAAACATAATTATCAGTATAGGGTTGTGAAGATTGTTGAGTATAGATTGATATAATGAATGAACCAATGTTAGACCACCGTTGGAAACCTGGAAGCATTAAACGACCAAATATAATTACCAAAATAAACATTTGAATAATATTATGAAATGTAAGTAGTTTGTCTTTGTTTTATTCACATTTTCAATCGAAAGATATTTGAGTTGAACTACTTTTTATCATGTTCAAGGGTGTGGTGATGAATAATGTAAAAACCTATTAATTAAATATAAATATTTGAAATAAACATTCTAGTGTTTGACGACAAAGCAAATATTTCATATAGTCAAAGTCTCAAGTACAAAATTTTCGTTTGACCAAGCCAGTTTATTGTAAGTATCAATTAAGTAAAACTTTGGTAACTAAAGATTTATAATAAAACAATAATAATAATAATAGCCTAGTTACTTGGTGTTCTTTAGAATGAAGATAGTTGTGCATCTATTAATTTACATTTCATCAAAGCTAACAAGTATTATTTGATGTATTTCTCTTTAAAATGTAACTGTTAAATGCCAACGGCTTTCATAATACTTTAGTGTGCATTACAATATTATACTACTTTCATCAAAGAAAAGTAGTTTTAAACTTTAGGACAAATTAATTTGCACCATTAGAGGTTGTAGATGTGGTTTCACAGAGAGTTAGTACTATCGAAGAGTAATTTCCATGTACAGCAGTTTTAGTTATGGAACAGGACGTACCTGTTACCTGCAAAGAAATATGACACAGCTTATATGTACAATAGCTTATTTCGTAAACCCACTTTATATATGCAGTTTAAAATTATCCCACACCTTTATGATAGGAAGCGATCGAAAGTGAGAGTACAGATTAATCAGCTTGATAACTTAACTGAATTTTAGATATATGCAATTATTTGTTTCGGTATGATATTCTGCTGTGTGACAACACCACCTCTAGCTCTTCTAGGGTTACAGTAGGTCATGAGCTCACGTAAACGAGGAGTATTGAGCATGGAGTTAGAATCCCCATCGCGTACAAAACAAACTTTCTAAAAACCGCTAACCAGAATAAACAAACAAGACCATTTGAACTCTGTTCTCTGAGTTGAAGGAAGGAATATTATGCCTCATGTTGAAACCCGGTGTTCTTCGTAAGTCATGGGATTGATGCCACTCCTAACAACCACAGCAGTAATTAATAAAGGTACATGGAATGTTCGAGCAAATGTGAGGGATTTGAATGGACAGTCAAATACCTGTAAAAATGAGCAGTTACAACTTGGCGGATCTCAGAATAAGTGAAACTCATTATATACAAGCTGGACAGAAAAGATTAGATTCGACAGAGATGTTGTTATACTATGGTCATGAAGAAGAAAATACTTTGCATACACAAGGATGTGACTTGATGTTGTCCAGTGGAGCACGAAGGGTACTTATAAGATGTGAACCTCATAGACCCAGTGTCATCAAGGCATTCTTCAGAGCAGAGAAGGAGGAAAAAGCAATGAATATTATCCCATGTTAGGCACCAAACAACGATCATAAACGTCAGTTTTACGGGAGGCTGCAGTCGAGCATAGCGAAGTGCCAACAAAAGGACCTCACCATCCTGATGGGAGAACTAAATAACAAAGTTCGTATGGACAACACCGGGTATGAAGATATCAAAGGATGACATGGAATCACAGGGAGAAATGAATGAGAATGGTGATAGATTTACAATTTTATATGACCTCAACATTATGGTTATAGGCGGTACAATGTCCCCCCACAAACTCATACACAAATCTATATGGGTCTCATCGGATTATAATACAGAAAATCAGATAGATTATATTTGCATTGCTAAAAGTATGAGATGGTCGGTGAGAGAAGTGAGAACCAGGAGAGGAGATGGAAGAGGTTCAGATCACCACTACTTGGTCGTTGCCAAGATGAATCTCACTCTAAAGAGGCCTTGCACAACTGGGTATACAGCACTATGAAGGTATGACACGAACTTCTTGGAAGATACTGACAAACTCAAGCAATGGAAGGTAGCTTTCAACAACGGATTCCAAGCATTTATTTTATTTGAACACATAAATATTGGTACGAACGTGCACCGAATACATATGCCCCATACGAGCCACTTGATTTGTGTGTGAGCTATGATACTGCACGGGTGCCAGGACCGAAGCAGGTGGTTTTGTTAGGGAGTCACATTTGCAGCCTTCGACCTAAATGTCCCATCCACAAGGCAATGGGATAACTTCAGGAGAGCGGTCCCATGATAGTCAGTGACTAACTATAGGTTCGTACATCGTTTGTTCCCTCAGGATACTGGAGCCCATGTGCATCATCGGTTTGTAATCAGAGTTTTCCAACCCTACTAGGTGAACTTTTCGTGTACACCAACCGGTTTAAAGCGCCGGACATTCGCTCTCAATTTTGTAAACAACACCCCCACCACGGGAAGGCAGTGAGTAGGACTTCCTTGGCAGAGGCTATATACGCGTGGCCATGTGGGAGCATTTCGAGAGGAAGAGCTAACTCTCCCCACCCTCAGTCAACCAGGACATTTGGAGGGAGTCCCGAGCCTTACTATACCTGCTCACAGGAGAACAAATGACTATGGAGGACAACTGGAAAGGAATCAAAGAACTAACTTCCACGTACCAGGAGGAGCTAGAAATATATCTAGAAATGTATCTCCATTGAAACCGTGAACAAGATTAAAGTATGGAAGAAAAGGAAGACGACTAACAACAGCCAAACAATAACAAAGTCAAGGCACAAGCTCAATACACTGAAGCAAACAAACTAGTGAAGTGGAATATTAGAGCTGACAAGCAGAGATACGAAGAAGAACTAGCAACAAAATTGTAAAAACCCAGCCCCATTGTATTCATCGGACATCGAAGCAACACACACAGACATTCCTATAGTTTTCACTAAATCAATGATCGAATTGAGGATGGACATCATACAAATCAAAAGCGGGAAAGCAACAGGACCTGACAACAAACCAGATGAAGCACTGAAGTCAGATATAAAAGTACCTGCAAAGATGCTCCATATTCTACTCAAGATTTGGAAGGAAGAACAAGTGCCGACAGACTAGATAGGAGGACACCCCATCAAGATACCAGAAGAAAGAGATCTGAGCAAATGTGGGAACTCCAGAAGCACCACACAACTATCGGTACCAGGAAGATTTCATCACGAACAAATTCATGTCAAGACAACCAGTGTAGCGGAGGCCTCTGCATGAGTAGGCCTCAACATACACAAGGGAAAAAACATCCTCAAATACAACGCGGAGAACACCGAACAAATCACATATTATGGAGAAACTCTGGAAGATGTGGGATCTTCCACGTACGAGTCAGCTTCCAGTTAAAAACGAAATCAGGAAAGACTCTGGATGTAAGAAATACATTGAAGAAATCACAATGATTTAAATGTATCTATTAGTGAATAGAAAAGTATCTCTATATCAAGAGTGCTATCTTTTTATACAAGATACATGTCATTTGCCAGACAGATTATGTCTGATTCTTAAATTAATGAACGAATACATGGCAAGAGTAAACCCATTTATTGTATTAAGCAAAACCATACACTGCATTTGTAAAATATGAAAACAATACATTTGCACGTCTTCCTTGAGCTGTCCCTTAAAAACTCTATCGTCCTTGCGTTCGACTGATTTCTGTTTTTCTTTCTCTGCTATTCCAAAGAACCCTACTTCCGATTCCTGATACATACTATTTAAATCTGTCCGTACAAGTATTACACACCACAATAGTTTGAGCCTGAGTCAGGAATATTGGAGGCATAGTGTTGAAGAGGGATCGCGGGCATTCACTCATTTAGTTTACTAACACGTTAGGATTTTGCAATTTCGAAGGAATGTTCAAGTTAAAATAATCGTCATATCTAGTTCGAAATCGCTCCTGATCAAATTTACAACACTTATTCCTTCTCGAATTATACTGTCTATACTTAATGTTTTCTACAACCACCGATACTGTTCATGATTCTACCATTCTGCATTTGTCTTTATTATTTCATCTTGCTATATTGATATGGTATAGTTACTTAAACTGATGCAAATATGTCGCAAGTTGTTCTATGTTGTTTATAACTGACTTTGTTTACTGCAAACTATGTGAAATTTCTTGCCATTATTTGTCAAAAATAACGACAATTAAATGAAAATGTCAGTCAGTCAGCTACAACGTAGGACCAGGCACATATATGCATCGGTCCAAGTTGCCATACCTCATTAACACAACAAGATGGACACTGGATTCATAAAAGTAGTTAATTCAGAGGTGGTAATATATAAAAGAAAGATTGCAATAAGGATATAGTACAAGAAGAAAGAATTAGTTCGAAGAAAGAAAGATATAAAGCGATTTTAATCTCTTAGTTTGAGGGAAGACAGAGAGTGTATACACCGACGCCATTGTCATCGATTCTGAGACATGTCACCAAGAGTCTCCAACCATTGGTTACGATAGTCATTCGGACCCCAACCAAGTAGTCTGCACCTACCGACATGGCTCAGACTAGAAGTTAGTGACTTCAAGCACTGATGCCACATTTTGGTTTGGCCGCCCCTAACTTTCTTCCAACCATCCCGAACACCGGTTAGCATTGCACGTCGTAAATGAAAATGTACAGTTTAAGAAAATATACTGAGTGAAAAAAAAAGATTATGCTGAAGTATTCTATGCATAAAGCCAATTTATTTCATGGAAGATTCATGATAAACAATGAGAATTATAGTATGCTTCGGAAGTGTAATTACAACATGATATCATCACCTTCAAAACAAAACAAAAAATACTTATTTATTTCACTATAGTAGCAGATTCCAGAAGCCAGAAAATGTTCGATAAATGCAGTCGATTCCTTGCTTCAATCTTGTAGACTCTTTTAACATACTGGTCAAATAAATATATATGAAGACGTAACAAATTTTTTTTAAAAAAAAAACACATTAAATATTCATTAAATAATGACACAAAAGATGAATGAATGTTACACATTATGAATTCACCCAGTAAGTACAATTAATAAATAATGTTATACATGCACATAATTTATGTTGGAAAAATGAAGAAACAAAAAACGTAACGATAAAAAAGTGAAATGCAATAATTAATCATTACAAAAATGACATTTGATTATTAACATTCTGCAGCATTTAAACAACGTAAACGAATTTTTAGAGCATCCTCTAATAAATAATCACGTAAATTCCATAATGCTTCAGTTACTGAACAACTTTGAACCTTTTTAGGATCAGTAAAGAAATTTCCTATTAATTGATTAGCTATATTTGGTTGAACTGGTGGAGCTGTATCTAGAGAAGCTGACAATTGGTTATGCCAATCACCTAATCCACCTGGACTATTCTTACGTAAACGACTAATGTAACTGTAATATGGAAATACAACAAAAAATTATCAAAAGTTACTTTGTTAAACATATACATCAATAAAAAATAAATTGAAATGGAAAAAAACATTGTCTCTTTTTGATAGTGGTGCAACTGGGATTATTATGCATTAAATATTGAAATGATACTAACCTAAAACAACGTTAGTCTCCAAATTCCATGTGTGTTTACAAAATTACATGAAATGTGATACTACAACTACTGTTATTATTATTTATTATATTGATGATTTCTGGACTTCATTATTTTGAAGAAACGGAACAAGACAAACTAAAACATGACTGAATAAGCATTTCACCATTAGTTATGAATAATGTAGGTTTGATCCGAAATTTCGAGAATGCTCACTTGGTATCAACAAAATGTGGTATGGTGATGTATAATATTGGAAAAATGAAGATATGAATGAACTGTGACAAATCAAATATTAACCCCATTTACTTATACTAGGAGTAGTTAACTAATGATATCCGTAATCAAAGAGCCCCTAGTTTTATTATGAGCTATATTCACAGAAAATCAATCTAGATCCAGACTGTAGAGACTTTCAATCATTCTACATTAGTATCACTAATTAGTGAATTCATTAGATAGCAGACATGGAACTAAACGCTCATGAATAAATTGATAGTATGTGACTTCAGATAGGACTTTGAATAGCTCAGTACTAACAACTGAAATTTCAGGAGATAACTGTTTAATTGAAGGAATAAAATGTTAACTGGAATTTCATGAGATGACACATAATGTCATACATGTTTTGATATGCAGAGTATCGCATCATAATTTGTCAATTATTTAGTGCACATCCGAAAGATGAGCATTATACTGTTATTGGCTACAATGATATTAGCATACATATGTTCCCACTTACCGCTGGTAAATTTCAGAATGAAGTACACGAGAAGTTCGAGGTGGAACCGATACAAACATTGGAGAAGATGGGCGGCCCGTTTGAGGTTGAGTTGGAATGGTTTGGGGTTGAGATTGAATGAATTGTGTTCCTGGAACAACTGAAACAGAAGCCATTACGTTCGGAGCGAGTGGTTGACTTTGAGGAACTAGAGAAATCGATAATTGCAATTAATTAGTACATGCAGCTTTGGTACGGAACGCAAGAAAACTTATGATTGTATAAATAACCGTTACAAAATAAAACAAAGAGACAATAATAATAAGTAATGTTTCCTACATGTTGTTAAAATTTTATCTTTGACGCTTAAACAATGATGATAGAAGAATTTTCAAGCAAGTCAATTATTTTCCGAACATGGAATAAAATTCATACGAACATCTGCATTTTAAATGAGGTCCAACAAATAGAAGCAACAATGCTGTCTAAAAAAACCTTCGAGTATTTCATTTTTATCATGCAATTCATTCACTGAACATTGGAGTTAAAGCTAATAGATTTGAAGTTTCAAAAAATATCACAAATATAGTTATTTGCACTAGTTCGATAACTTAGCTGTTTAAAATTTACAGAAAATAGAGTAGATGGAAAGTCGAAGCTAATAGATGGGACAAACGTACAGGGCTAAGAATAAATACAATGAGCAGATTATTTAGCACTTAAGAAAAGTTGAGTTTATATTGATCAATGGATAACAGATATGGAAATAATAAAAACAGAACTTGGACTGCTATTGAAGAGACAATATTTAAGAAGTAGTCTTACTAAAGGGCAAAAAACTGACACAAATAGTAAAAAAAATGGATGAAAGGAAGGCAAACTGCAAGCAACTCAAGGTGAGAAAAAATTACCTTGTTGTACCAACTGGTACTGCGGTTGTACTTGTGTCGCATAATCTTGAGAACAAGCTCCCAAAGTTGGTCCAGGTGGTTGAACAATATGGGGAGCACCTACAGCTGCAACAGCTACTCCTTGGTGTAACAGAGGTTGATTTAATGTCGGAGTTGTCGTTGTTACTAAACCACCTTGTGCTAAAGCCGGAAACCCTGTTGAAGATACAGATCCTGTTGAACCTAAAAGTATCTGGGCCTGTTGAACGTTAGGCATAGAAGGACCTGTATTTGTACCCACAGGTAAAACGGGTGGTACAGTAGTTCCTGATCCAATAACAGTACCCATTATAGTGGGTGTAGAACACACGCTAGATGCAACCAAAACCCGTTGTGGCTGTTGTTGAGTTTGTGGGTGAAGTTGAGGTTGATAAAACGGTTGTTGTGGTGTTCCAGAACCGACGGTCCCATTCGGAAGAATGCCATGTTGTTGGTTCGAAAGTTGATAAACAACCTGTCGCATGTTCAATACAGACAACAAGGAACAAGAAACATGAGAAAATAGGCATTCTTAAGCTATATATCACACACGAACCCTGAAAACATTGTATGAACTCCAACAGAAATAACGAGGCATCATGGGGAAATATGAAACCATGTTTATAAGACATATGTTCCTATGTGAAAATGAGAATATTATCGCAATAAATCAATAAAAATGGCACAAACTACCAATTCAGGTATTTGGTTTATATATCAGATTATTCAAAATTATTTTCTTTGATATTTTCAAGTGCAAGGATGACTCATTATGAACTGAAGATTTTGAAATCCATTTTGCCAATAAAAAAGATCCTCATTTCGTCTTCATACAAGTGAACACAACTCACTAATCTAATTATAAAGTTGAGAACTGACAGAATCAAACGTTAAACATTACAAATACATTGAAATGAGCTGACCTGATGAGTTGGAGTGGCAACTGGACAAGCCGAGGCAATTGCAGGTATTGTCGCATATGTAGTTTGAACAATATTAGCAGGCTGAGCAAGAGATGCAGTAACTGTTTGAGCTGGCAACGCATTATGCCCAACTACACTAGGTGTTGTTGAGGAGGCATGGACAATTTGAATGACTTGACCAGTCGGTGTTTGATAAAACTGCATAGTAGCAGCTGTAGCAGTGACAGGCATTCTAGATGACGAAGACGGATTAATAGCTGTAGCAGAAGACTGAAGAGGTATTGTTCCACTAATGTTATGTGATGAAATACATGTAGCAGCTATTTGCTGTTGAATATGAAGTTGAACTTGTTCTTGTTCTCTGGCTTTCATTTGCATTTCTTCTTCAGCCATATGTTGTCTAATTAGATGCGCCTTTTGTTCATATAAATCACGTTGAGCAGTGGGCATTTGACGCCACTACATAATTATAAAATAAGAAAAATATAATTTAACTGAGATTGATGACCTTATTTGCTTAAAGATTAGAGATGAGATATCGAACACTAAACTTTACTCGGTTAGTGGTACCTTGAAATACTCTATATACACACACTGCGTTGTATGTATATATCGATTTTCGCAAATATGAGAATGTCCAAAATGTAAATGAAAACTAAGAGACCATATTTCGCTACTATCTGGTACTAATATTGGCTTATTTCAGAACTATAACAGAAAAATTAGCATGGAAAGTAAATGTACAAGGATGCGATGTGTTGCAGTGACACAATAATTGGTGCTAACGTTCATGGATTGACATAATGCATGTATTCCGAACAATGGACAAGAAATAAAAACAGAAATACAAAATTACATTTAATGTATACATAGTTAAAGCGATACACATTTAGAAATTACTAAAAATACGCAAGACAATTCCGAAGAAACTATGTGTAAGTCTAGTCACCGTCATAAAGTGTGGATAGTTTGTCATAAGGCACAATTCAAAATAAACCAAAGATAAAGATCATTTTTAAAGTGTTTCGACAGTTTTGATAGCATTTAAAAACATCATGAAACCTTTCAGGTCATTTATGTCGATGTTAGGATATCAAAATAACATGTTTGTAAGCTATTTCGATGTACAATAAGAGTGAGAAGTTAAGCACGAAAACAGTATTGATAGGTTTAACACAACCACTCACCAGAAGACCAACTTCACGAGATATTTCGCCGAATGGAGCATCAGGTCGTTCTTGTAATAACTTCTTTCTAATTTCACCAGCGTATAAAACATAACCTGACGGTGGTTTACGGATTTTCCTCTGAGAAAAAAATGAAGAAAAACCTGATCATAATCTATAATATAAAATTTACGTTCGAATGAAGGAAATGTACCTGGATTACGAAACCAAAACAATGTACAATATCTTAAAATTTGATTTGTGGAGCAAAGATTTGTAGTAACAATAAAAGTAGTTCATTATTTTAAAGAGTAGAAAATATCAGAGATAATAATAATAAGTCAACAGGTCATAATATTACTGTCAAAAATTCCAAATACTGAGTTGATTTCGACTAGTATGACAAAATAATTTGAGGTTATGATTTCACAAAGAACTCCTTATGCTAAATAAAACTTTCACAAATGTTGGAACTGTACAAAGAGTATAAAATGACTAACATACCTTTTTACCTGTACGATCTACGTTATTTTCAATGAAAGCTCGAGTAAGCGCATCGAGTTGAGCTGATGAAGTTATACCATGAACTAATGCATTATTACTGGTAGGTAAAACGTTAACTGGTGTGTGACCCACTACTGGATTTGTACTATGTCCTGTAAGTGGACTAGATCCTGAGCTTTCACCTATTAATCCAGTAGGTATACGGTCAGTTTGTTTCGCTGCATCAACAGGTGATAAATTGGGAAGAGAAATCATTGGAGCAGCAACCATATTGGTAGTAGTTCCGGCTGCTGCTGCAAGTGCGCAAGTAAATGCCAGAGACACTGGACGATTTAATTGATCATTCTGAAGTGGTTCAGTAGATGCTTGAGCCAAAAGAGGTGATGCATCCTATAGGAAATTTAAATTAAAAGGACAACACACGTTATTCATCATGACGCGAACAGTAAAGTTCAAAACAAAATACACTAAAATAACCACTGAAAAATAACTTAATAAGACCATGAGAATGATATGAACAACAAATCAGGCATAAAAAAGAAAACTTTTGAGGTCTAATTAAACTATGCTATTCATCTATCAGATTTAGGTTCATGTAGTATACTATGAACAACGCTCATTATATGAAGACTATACAGCCATTTAAATTGAATTAGAAAGAGAGATCGAATATAGTAGCGTCAACACAATCGATGAAAGCAGTGATTAGGAAGTTACACAATAAATCATGATAACATGTTAAGAGTATGAAAAATTGAAACTGTAAGCTAAAATCATTATCCAATACATAAGCATTATGGTTTATTATGAACAGAGATGATGGTGACTAGAAGTGGAATCCAGGACGCGCGTTTCGTCCTATTTGGGACTCGTCAGCTGGGCGTAACAGCATCTCATAGTTCATGATCACTCCGGGACTCGAACGCAGTACCGTTAGCTTCAAACGCCATCGCATTATCCAGTCAGCTAGTGATAAATTGCAGTCCTAAACATCAGTGAGAAGATTTAAACGACCAATACGAAAATGAATAGTATTCTATTCTAATTATTTCGAAAAAAGCATTAATAATGAAGAAATAAATTCAAATTGAAGTTTCAAGTGAAATGTTAGAGATGTGCACTTACTTTTCGAGGCATGATTTGTTGGGGAAAGAAATAAAATTCATCTTCATGTATATTGTTTGATGTAAATTGAAATTTCTAAGTAAAAGTAATGAAAAAAAGGATTTTAAATTACAATTATCAGGTCGTAAATTGCAGACAAGTTACAAATATAAACAATAAATAAATGAGTAAAACTACAGTTTTATAAATTTGCATAATATATAAATTTTGACATACATCGCGTTCATATACTGAACTTTAAAAGCTAGCAACACGCATAAAGTCAGTCAGTCAGCTACAACGTAGGACCAGGCACATATATGCATCGGTCCAAGTTGCCATACCTCATTAACACAACAAGATGGACACCGGATTCATAAAAGTAGTTAATTCAGAGGTGGTAATATATAAAAGAAAGATTGCAATAAGGATATAGTACAAGAAGAAAGAATTAGTTCGTAGAAAGAAAGATATAAAGTGATTTTAATCTCACAGTTTAAGGGAAGACAGAGAGTGTATACATCGACGCCATTGTCATCGATTCTGAGACATGTCACCAAGAGTCTCCAACCATTGGTTACGATAGTCAAGCGAACCCCAACCAAGTAGTCTGCATCTACCGACATGGCTCAGACTAAAAGTTAGTGACTTCATGCAATGATGCCACGTTTTGGTTTGGCCGCCCCTTACTTTCTTCCAGCCGTCTCCAACACCGGTTAGCATTGTACATCGTGGTAATCGGTGTTCAGGCATACGTGACACGTGGCCCAACCATCTCAGTCGATGAAGATTAACAACCTCATCAACTGATTTACCATCATTACCTAATACCCTGCGTCTAACCTCACTACTACTTACCCGGTGAACACGTATAAAGAGTATGCAATATCTCTTGTATTTGGTCATATAAATGAAATACTTGACACGAGTTTCAATATAATTTGAACAGATAAACTGAACTTTAAACGTGTATCACTGAATGTTTGTGATCAAAGCTCGAACTAATTATGATACAGTTGCTTGATAGGTGAATAGTAACCAATCCCGTATTTGTTTATTTCCGTGTAGTGATGATCGGATCATACCAACCAAGTTGGAATATCCAAATTAGTCCAAGTGACTTGACTTGGATGGCTAAGTGATAACATTTCAGACCATGAAACTAAGTGACAAAGGGTCGAATCTGCCAGGAAGTACCAGTTACCTCACACACCGTATAGGTACCAGTTAGCATGACATCTAGGTCAAGAGTATCTTATGGATTACATCCAATCAGCCAGAACTAGATATCATAGTTATAGAAGTAGGATATAATCTATGACAGCAATAAAACACAGGTATATAAAAGTTAAATTCATAATTCAAAGAAAACTTCTCACTTAACATGAGCAACAAAAACACTAACTCAGGAAGCATGAATTTGTTGTATATTTTCAGGAAAATTGAAACGCAAACTATCAAACCATGAGAATATTTGCAGAAATAACTTACATAAATGATCTAATCGTTTAATGAAAAAACCCATCATGTTCACAATAGTGTATAAAGTAAACCTCAAGAGGAGCTTATCAGTCTTATAATATAGATTTAATTTACTATTCATGGCAAATTACATATTAGTTACAACTGTTCACTTACTTTTAATCCTTTCTTAAGTTTACGAATTACTTTCTCAGTTTCAAAATATTTTGAATCACACATGTAAATATCATGCTCCGGTATTTCAGTGGGGCGAGCTAAAACACAGCACGTCAAGTTGTTTTGCAATCATTCGTTATCAGTACAAATGAATAATAATAATAATAATAATAATAATAATAATAATAATAATAATAATAATAATAATAATACAAAATGGTAATAATGAGATCATGAACCGATCAATGTTAAACAACCGTTGAAAATCTGGAAGTAACGGGCGGCCACTTCGTTTTAATATAGAGCAGCTCAGCAGCGCGCATCCACAACCGCACAGGCGGATCTCGAACCCAGGACCTTCTACCTCATGCGGACGCCTTACTTTTAGACCATCAAGCCCGGATCCAATGGTGTTAACATCTAAACACAACCAATCCACGATATTGTGCAACTATCTCCCTTTGTCTTCGGTGAGTAACTGTCTCACACCCAACACGATTGAACTCCAGTAACATGTGAACTCCATGAAAAAGAGTATTAATTTATAAAGTGGATGAACACAATATTAGTTATATGGAATATGAATCCTTGACAGATAGAATTTGAGCGGGAACAAAAAGAGCTAGACAAACGTGACAATGGTCACTACTCGGCAATCGATCCATTGTAAATACCTGTTAGTCTTGCAGGTTAAGTGTGGTGAGAATAGCTCAGTCTTCACGTTTAAGACTGTGAGACTGAGTGACATTTATTCGAACCTACCAATGAGAATCAGTTTTTTCAAGACTATATGTTTTTCTTTTCGATAAGCCCAAAAAACCAAGAAAAGTAAGTTCAAAACTTTTAATCACCTACTAATAGAATTCTTTATTTTACTGATTATTATCAACAGAAAAATAAGTCATCTAATAATTAATTACCCTGGGAGTAATCACATGGACGCATAACATAACATTTCCCTGTAGCTGAAGCAAGCGCATGAGTAGCATGATCAGCCCCAGTAAGAAATACTTCTTTAGGATAAAATAAACGTGTTGGTAAATGATCTACTGAAGATGAAGTAACGAACCATGGTCCAGTAAATAAAATAGCATTTTGACTGAAATTTTTAAAAAAAGAGTAACAGTTTTGGTTAGATGAACAAAACTTTTGGAGATAAAAACTTAAAAGAAATCAACCCAGTGAATATCTATGCACTAAACTTGTGTCACATTTATGGTGTACAAATCTGAGATACTATTTAGATGTTCAAACTGAAGAATGAGTTTTACATGAAATCAGAGTTGCTGAATTGAAGTAAGATCAAACGGAATGATGAGCGAGTATTAATAATGTACTATTTTACGTCAAAATGATCACCAATAAACCAAGCTTAATATCACAACATACAATTATCTTGAAAGAAATTAACTTTGTAAACGTTTAGTTTACTATAATTTCTGATTACAAAACTTCCAGACACTACAAGAATCTATGGAGCAAATCTGTGTAACATTTTTAAAGCATAGTATTTTCATCATATAGTATGAAGAGTTATTGAAAAGCATCTCGCTTTATCAAATATGTTTTTAAAAAAGACTAGAGAATTTAGATTAAATAAAGAACACATTGTGGGAAATGATAACAGTAGAATTATTGACGAAAAATTAGAATATTTGAAAATAGCTGGTTATTAACATTTGATTAATACAAAATAAAAGAGAAATATATTGAAATCCTTCAGATGCTTAGAGAATCGCCCAGACTAAGTCTTCTAAGCATTCTTGGGATAATATACATCAAATTCTGCTAGATTATTCTATTGTTACTTCAGTCGATATTCTTGAGACTTTGCTTTGAATATAGTATCTATATCTTGCCCCATTCGCTAGCACATTGAAACCAAGATTTTCGTGGAAATATACAGTTTTAGTAACAGAAATTTCAAAAAACATAAATATCTGAAAACACTATAGAGTGATAGTTATTTCTTTGGTAACTTACGCGCAGGATTTCCATAGTTTGTCGACTCGCACAATAGAACGTTCAGAAGATCCATTAGTGGAGGGGACATACAGAAAATCACCTTTATGTCCAAATCAAGGGAACACAGTTACATGAAATCAATGTAATCATAAAATTAACAGATATATATTTTTTAATGTGAAGCAAAAAAACTAATATGCGCAATAAGTATGGGTGTTTCTAAGTGCAGTTCTTTTTTCTAAAGCTAGCAGAAAGTTATATCTTGAACGCTTACTGAAAGAGGCTGTTCAACATCATTATCATCAGGTGCAAACAGTATTCATGGTTGACGTTAGATTACTGAAAAACCTGATTGTGCAGCATTTCACATTTGTGTTTTGCAACCAAGTGATGACAGAATCTGTTGTAACGGGGGAAGGAACTATTTTTTCCTACACTACATTGGGAAGTCCTGACCGCAGCCGCCATCTTGACGTAGTGATAGAACTTGCCTATCGTGGTCACTCAAATGAGTAATGTTGGCTGGAATATATATTCCTCTAAGTCCTACCATGTCAAGCAGGTCTGTTGAAGAACGGTTAGACTAAAAGAAGCAACTTAAGGCCCGAGGGCGAAGGAGTACTGCTGACTGTAGATAGGTATAACAGAAGTGAGGTGTTTCCTTTTGAAAACCAGCATCTGCAGCGATGCTGCTTCTTCACGACGGAAGGAAGGGGTTAGAAAAGGTCGACTTTGAAGATATCATACCACATTTTACCCCACGGATTTCATTTTTAGGAGGTAGTTCTTCTGAAATTTAAAGCTAATTCATCAAAAACTTCCCATAAAAAGGTCGTGTGCGAACGACCTCAGGCAGTTGTCTCTTGGGCTCTGAGGTCACGCTTCCAAGTTTTTTGGACCACCACTAATTCAGCTTCCTTTTCAGGTCTCTTTCAAGAAAAATGTCCTTCCATGGTATGGGCAACCTGAAAGAGAAAACCACACCCATACCTCTATCAGCATACGAGATCATTTACTTGGTGTTCAAACCCCTGTATTACCCCTTAATAATTTTTCTATACACATAACTAAACCTTCGCATTTATCTTTATCAACACGCGCCATACGTAGCAATTAACTGTTAATAACATGACTGAACTTACTTCAGAATAGAACTTAAAAAAAAAACACATCTGTATGAAATTTTATAGTTAGCTTAAACTTAACATCATTTGAAAATAATAGTTTGTATTCTGAGCATTCACTTTACTGTAGCTATTATTAGGATTCATTTACAACGTTAAAATAGAGATAAAAGTGGTATAGAATCTCTCAGTGGGAGTGAGAGATCATGGCGATCATACTATTGTTTTGAATGTTTATAGTTATATATATATATTATTAGGTGAATGGGTGGAATACATAAACTAAATGTAGCATTAATCAAGTTTTATTATTAATCACTTACCCAGTTTCACTGAAAATCCATTCTCATGAACATATTGTTCATAAACTACAGTTCCTTCAGTTTCAGTAAGATCCTCAAGAACAATGGACTATTGCAAATATTAAAAAATAAGACAATCAAAAATATATATAAACACCTATATATTGAAACAATACACTAAACAATTACTTCTTATTCACTATTCTATTCGGAATATTATGAATACAGTTCATTTCATCAGCATCACAAGTAAATTATATTATATTACAAAATCAGTCAGTCAGAAAAGGCATGAAACTTGGTCCAAATGTGCATTAATCATAAATTGTCACACTTTAAATAAACACAAAGAAACAAAAAGGCTATGGAATTATTGACTTGTCATTTTTAATTGAAACCTCACTAATAATTAGATTTTATTAATTTAAATTTTTTTATGCACAAAACTATTGCTTGAAAAAGAATGAGATTCGACAAAAAATGAAATACTTACTTTCAAAGTTTGAGGCAAAGGATAATGCATTTGAACGAACAAACTGTTATTAACCTGTTCTAAGGCATTTCCTAAAGGTTCATTTGGAGGTAAACGTGTTGGTACAAATGGGGTAGGTCTAGCTTCTAATTCAATACCAGTCGGAAGTGGAATATTCCAGTCCTATAAACAAAAATTGTAATGTACAAAAAATATTTGAGACATTAGGCAATTGTAGGTGTCATGATAAGTGGATTCTAGGAACACTCTGATGAGCTTCCATAAAGATACTGAGGAGGAGAGATAACTGTAGAATGACAAAAAGTTTATGGGATTGTGATAAGTGATGGAAAAAGAAAGCAAAATAGAATGAAAACGTAATGGTGACAAATAAAACTAAATTAAGTAAGATTTGGGCTGACAACTTGGCCACTATTAAAAATGATCTGAGGAAGAAAGGTCAAACTAGACAAATGGAACAATGTGTGAGAAACTGATGAAGTGTTTCAGCTATTTATTTATTTATTTGAATACATGAATATTGGTACAAGAGGAAACCGAATACACATGTACCACACAACAAAATTGAGGTTGTGAAGATATAGAGAATGGCGGGCGAACGATGTCTAATACCATTTACGGCCACTATGTCGCAGCATCTCTAGGATCCCAACCACACACAGACAGACCGACAGAAATCAGTCCTGTACAGCTTTTATACCACAACACCATGTCATACTGACCACCTCTCCGCTTTTTCAAACCAGTCCCAACGTCGGCAAATAATGCGCGACATGGAATTTTGTGGGACGACATTCGTAAGACATGTCCAACCCACCGAAATCCGTTACAAGTCGATGTTTCAATATAGTGACACCAGATGAATTATCGACGCTCTGTCCGAACACACGATGCTGAACGTTTCACATTCAAAACATGATTTTGCAATCGGATATCAGTAATCCTTCGGAGACAACGATGATCAAACACAGAGAGTCATCTAACATTCTCTGATTGAAGAAGTCAGGTCTCACAAGCATAGATCAAAACTCCCCTCATCAACGCGTTGTAGATCCGACATTTTACTGCCAAACTAACATCACGAAAGCGCCAAAGATGGCCATAGGCTGCTCTGGCTTTCACCATACTTGAATTGATTTCATAACTCGTGCAAACATCAACACTTACACAGCCACCCAGATACACGAAATTCTCGACTACTTCTATCCACTCACTACCCATGGTGAGTACAGGATCAGGGTCCTGTTAGTCCTGTAAAAGCGTTTGGCACTTGGAATGTGAAAAGGATATATCATACATACAGACACTAATTGCCAACTCATTAAGTGCGGATTGCATGGCTTAGGTATCATCGCGAGTAAGATAGCATCATTCACATAATCAAGGTCCAAAAGTCTTTCTCCAGGCATCAGATCCACGCCACCATTACTTACATCCATCAGAGCTGATTCCAGAGCGTCACCGATGGAAAACCTCAAGAGGAATGGTGAGATTGGGCAACCCTGCCTAACCACACTGCTCGAATGGAACAATGGAGAGAGGTGGTCGTATGCCTTCACTCTACTTGAGGTGTTTATATATAGGGCTTTTAAGATGTTAATAAACGTCCCAGGCACACCCTTCTTCATTAGAAAATCTCAGAAAACAGTCCTGTCCAACCAATCGAAGGCGGTCCTAGTATCAAGAAACACTATGATTGTTGGCCTGTGATAAGTGTGATGGTGTTCTAACATTTGGCTGAGAGTGAAGATAAGATCAATACATCTGCAACCAGAACTGAAACCAGCCTGCTTCTCGCAAGTCAATCTTTCTCGAGTTTTGAACAATCTATAAAGTATGATGGAAAGCAATAGTTTCGACACAATCGGGAGTGGACTTATCACCGATAGTTGTTGCGTAAATGACGTGAACTATTTTTAAGGACAAGGGCAACAATCGACTCATTCCACGATATTCGAACACTTTTCAACCGCCTGACATTCCTAAACAATCCAGTCAGCTTCTTAGCAAGAAGGTCGCCGAAGGTAGTCATCTGAACCTGGTGATTTGTGGCACTTCAAGAGTTGGAGTTCCTCGCGGATCTCCTACTCGTTATAGGTGGAACAGTCATCACGCGCGATCGAGGGTAGAACAGTCTGATCGACGTTGACGGGACAGCAGACCAGTTGAACTGCCCCCCGAAAAACTGACCACCATCCAAGACGTCGATAGATGTTAGTCATTGGCATCCCGTCATCTTCACAGATTGTTTTGCTCACACCAGACTTCTTGCTGCTAGTAACTCGAATGACTTGAAAGAGCTCCCGGCAGTTACAAGAAGCAGCTTCTGCTCTCAACTCATTGGCACGCTCCAACCACTAGGCTTATCAGTTTTTACGGAAGCTTTGCCCAATGTCATTACGTAACATCCCTTGTTTGTAGTCAGAATCACGGTCACTTGGATTAAACCGACGGGCTTCAATGAGTGGTAAGGAGTCTGTAGAAACCCTGTGCTTGTAAGCGAAACGTTTCGCAAAGCCGCAAGCGACTTTATTCGCCAATCTCATGGAGTCATGCAATTGCTAGCCTTGAACCTAACTCCGTTTGATATTTTGTCGCAACAGAAGCTGCAACCAATTTGCTGACATTGATTTGTTTAGGATGATGAAGGGTATCTTCAACGATTGTGTTGCGGTCACATTTATTATCGAAATTAGTTACCAAAAATACATAAACCGACTGAGGAACCTTTACCGGAATGCTATTGGTTAGATCAGAGCCCTATCAACAGTATGTCAACTGAAGTTCGTCGAAACTATCCAGTTATTATTATTATTATTATTATTACTATTATTATTATTAATGGCTTTATTCAGTATTATATTTTTGGTACAATATAGAATTCTCAGTACAAAGTATTTCAACAAGTTTCCTTTCCTTATTTATTGAACGACCCTTGTGATAAACATCGGGTGGTCGCCAGTTAGATGTTAGCAGTTCAGGAATCGACATCCGATTAATGTATATTCTTTTTAATACATATTTCCAGCAACCACGTTTCTGATTGGACTCTTTTTTAACTTGTAAAGCGAAATGTCGTAAACTTTTGACAAACACACCTGAATAGATTATGCGACTAATATGCATAATGATGTGTTAAAACAAAAGAGAAAACAGATAACTTGTCGAAATACCCAGATGGCAGGAACAGGTAGCCCAGATATTCAAGCAGACCGCCTTGGTTTCTTATTTTCTTAATCTAATTTTTTCAGATAATATTCAAGAAATAAAACGTTTTAAATCCGACATTCAGGGAGTAATTTCATACATGGAGGCACTTGGATTGATTTAGATTGTGGTCTCAAAACGTGCCCCAAGTGTAAAGAAGCCTCATAACATAGGCTAGTATACAGACTAATTCACACAAGTGTATTTAGTAGTACAAATATATCAACTTCTTCGTTTGAAAAGTCTATCAAATGTTTAGGTAACTTGGTAAAAAAATACCTATAAATCTATTCACAGTTGATAAACATACATAGAATACAATTCTGAAAATGAGGTCATTTTGCTGCAAGGTATAAATTTTATGAATGTGAAGATAAATTCTCATAAAAATTGTAAGCCAAACATCGAAATGTTACGTATTCTTACGTCGAGATGTTGTGTACACTGTGAGTAGTACTAATTAACCAGTTGGACTTAAAAAGATGAAAGTAAAAACCAAGTACTAAGCATTTCTTTTCTCACTATATATGTGACTTCAAATGTCCTAGTATGGATGACGGTAGGAAGGAACCGCTCTCGCTTTCGAGACGTTGTCATAAAGCTGTGTTTGTAGTTTGCATCACGGAAGTCCACTTCTATGCCTTCATGCAAAGGGGTTATTTACGAAAATAAGACAACGAAGAGCAAACCAAGTTGGTGAATACAGAAGATCCACTTGGAGGAGTTGGGAAGCTCCAATTCCTTAACAACGACGTATATAGGCTTCAGAGTGTTGAGAGGAGGAGTGTTACATAAACCTACTTTTATTCAATAGCTATCATGGAATGAAAGCTCCTGAAGTTCTGCCTAAGTCTTTAGGTCGAAGGCTAGAGGAGAAGCCCCATGAAAAAAACAAACTGCTTCAGTCTGAGCTCCCGAGCAGCATCCCAACACACCCGCAAATCTTAAGCACGTACTATTTTTGGGCGCCCAGTTATACCAGATATCATGTGGATTCAATAAACAATAAATAAACCTTAATATAAGAATATATTGCATAAGTCACAAAAAGAAATGAATCAAACTTTATTATTTTCTTAACCTACCCTGACTTTCGTAAATAACTGGGATGTAATGGAGAACTGAGATTCACAAATAAATACATCACGTTCTTCAAGATTCTAAATGGAAGAGAAAGCAAGTACACATTAAAAATAAAAATATTTAAAGACAGGTTAGAAAATACTACTGGTAGTGTAGTGGAGTGCAGTTTTAATTAAATGTTTAAATTATTTAACGATGCAAATCTGCACCATTTCAACATTCTTAAACATAAAAATTAAGAATCACTTTCACGGAAAAAAAACTGACTTCCATGTTTCGAAACCATATATATACCAAATTCACTTGGTATTGTTTGTTTAAATCTTCCGATTGATGTTCACTCAGAGTGAACACCAACTATGAGATACAGGTACATCTACTTGACGAGTTCCAAATAAGACGAAACGCGCGTCCTGGATTCCACTGCCAGTCACTATTCATCTTTGCACATGTATATACCAGTCAGTCATCCGCAATGGACTTACTTACTATTACTAAGTAGATATTTGTCGACCTAAATCATGAATAGGGCTAGCAAAAAAAACAAATACACATCCCACGGCAAATATACAAAACAGAAGTCCACTTTATTCCTCTTAGTTAACTGATATGAAACAATGGCTATCAAATGGAATGAAATTTGAATACTAGGAACGTTTTCTAATGATATACTTAAAGAGGTAATTCTGTTTAATGTCAACAAATAATAAAGAAATAAACTGAGCTTAAGTACATGTACAGAAAATACCAGCTAAAAAATTTGCAGTGACCGAGATGATCGAAAGATATTCACTATGTCAACAGAGTAAGAGTGGTGGCTCAACAGTTAAGGAAACAAAAATTCAGCCATTGAGTTGTAGGTTAAGAACCAGCTCATCCTACTTCTCTATTCGGGTAGACGGTTAGTATCACCAGCTCCCATCACACTTGAAATCTGATTCATAGCCAAATATACAAATCTGTCTAAACGGTAACTGGGTTAGTAATAATACACTGATAGCAAGAATTTAGATTATTACTTATCAGATGTGTGTTTTTCGTTTTCCATTTCCTATTTCTTCATTATATTGTTAATCTATATGGCGGATTTATCACACCATCATTATCACAAATTAATCAGTCAGTAACAACGTAGAACTTCGTACGTACGTACATCAGTTCGAGTTGCCATACCACATTAGCACAGAGATGCCGTTGTCGATTCAAATCCCATAGTGTTAGAGGTAGTAGGGGTATTAGCAGTAATCGGAAAGATTAGGGTTTGGAGATGTTATTTAAAGAGTATAATCCAGTGAAATAAATTTGAGAAGAGAAAAAGAGACAAGGAAGAATTAGATTAGAATTTGGGAGAACACAGAGAGTGGATGCACCTGCGCCATTGCAAACGATTTTGAGCCATGTCATTCAGGGTCTCTAACCATCGGTTGCTATCAATTCGCGGTCCCCAACCATGTAGTCTACACCTACCAACATGACTCAGTCCACTTGTCAGTGACTTCATGGACTTATGCCATGTTTTGGTCTGGTCACCCCTAGCTTTCTTCCAACCTACTCCTATACCACTGAACAACGCACGTCGAGGCAGTTGGTAGTTGGGCATACGTAACATGTCCCAGCCATCTCAACTGATGAAGTTTCACTACTTCATCAATGGATTTGGCATCTTTACCTAGTACCCGTTTCCAACTAATGGTCAAACTTGAACGTTTCTATTCATCAGAACGTTAAAAGACTAGAGAGATGTTTACAAGCCTCATCTATAAGTTGAAATTTATAGTTATTTTTAAGTACAACAGTGAATGATGCTTTGATATTTTCTTACAAACGACAAAGTTTATAATTGTTAACTAACTTTTGGCTTGTAACGAATGAATTGCGAAATATGCATCACAAGACAACGTCCCATTATTTGATTAATTTGAACTGTCTCACCAAGAGCTGTACGAAAAACTTCAGCGGCTAAAAGACGCCTTCGACGTGAAGGATGTGCTTCAGCTGGTCGTAAATACATAGACAGTCGAACATTGATTGTATAAGGATGGTCGACCTTCACAGACGATTCAATGTTATCACAACTGTTTTCCCTTTTCGATTGATCTTCTTTATTAGGTATTTGTTCTTCGATTTTGGACAGCGAATGCTCTACCCGGCTAATACGTGTTATGCGACCAATATGGCATTGAGTAACATTGGGTCGCATCGGTTCAACATATACATAATCTCCAACATGATACGTTTGACCACGTGCTTCGAAATGCTTAAAGAAATATTTGATTACAAAATAATTATTTACTGAATTATGAGTGGAAAATTTTAATTTTTTTGCATAAGTACAAAGTAAACAGCTTAATCTTCGAAACCCCTCATGATGAAGTGCTGTAAAGGATTTCGAAAAACTAATTCAGATCACATAGACATAATACATTCTACGTTACAGATAGACAACAGTAATATAAAGATGCGACACAGAAGGCAAAAAAATGCAAAACTGACACCATAAATTGAGACTTAGTTTAAGTGTGAAAACTGTATAGACCCCGATTATCTATAATACTATTGGATAATACTGAAAAAGTAATCATAATAAAAGCATACTTTCAATTCGCATTCTCCATCTGAAAGTGGATTTAAAGTTTCTTCTCCGTTTTCATCATCATAAACTGGAAGTTTATGGTTTGCATTTTCTTCAGTAATATCACGTTCTAAGGCTGCTTCTGTATACGACAAGGCAGGACTGTACAAAACCACATGAGAAGGTAATACAGATCCAGAATCATTATTTGGTGAAGTTTGAGTTCCCGATCTCCGATGGCATAATTCATCCCTAAGACGAACCCAACGGTGAGCTAATTCAGCAGCATCTAATCGTTGTTGTTTAGTAGGGCAAGGATTTTTCACTTCCGCTGGTTGATCAGATCCTTCTCCGATTCGGGCTCTAGCCAATATCCCAAGCCAGTCTGACTGAAGACTATCAAGACGATGATAAGAACCTTCTGCCACTGCACGATGAAGCGCAGCCAAACGAGCTGCAGTCACTGAAGTAAGCATAGATTCAGTACCATCACCAGCTATTAATGAATCTACTAATCCTCGACCATCTGCATCGCAAGCCGTTAACATTGCATTATGAAGATTAGTCAGCAGACGACGTAAGCCAGTAGAAACATCAGGAGCAACACATGGAGGTATTGAAAGTGACTGCTGATGGGCAGACAATAATAATGATCGCTTGGCAAGACAAACCCGATGAAGTATCAGTGTATCCTAAATCACAGAAAAATTTAATAATGTATTACCAGTTTTAGAGATAGTAAAAAGTTGAATGAATGGTTAGGTAGGAAAATCAAGCTCACCGCATAAATCTGTGAATCAGGTTCATTAAATCTGCATGCGTTGTCAAACATTAGAAAAAGTTCACCAGCGAACTCTTCAAAATCCGTATATTTCATTTGAACCAGTTGTTTAGCCACACTTTGTAATTCTATGGGTTTCTTAATAAACTCATAATAAGTTGGAAGCTCATTTCTAGTTGGTAAACGCATAAACGGATTAGATAACACTCTCCCGTTGATTTGATATTCACGAACTGCCTGAAAAAGCTCCAACATGACACGTTGTAAGAGTGAACAAGTTGGTTGACCAGATTGTTGATGATGAACAGCAGGAACAGTATTGACTAAACTAGCATGTGACTGAATATTTGAACCATCCAACTGTTGTGTTAAACTAAATTTAACGTAAATTTAAAAATTAAGTATGAAAGTTGGGATGAATTTATAGAGAATGAAAAAAAAATCTACAGAAATGATAATTCACCAATGAAGGAGACTGGTTAAATGACATAAACGCAAATTAATGAAGTGAATTCGTTAAAATGAGTGAATCAGTCTGTAGACTAAAGGTAAGGGAAGAATTACTGCCCTATTCTGTTAATCAATATTTATGTCACGTTGATTTCCTCTGAAATGAAACAGAAATATCCAGGTTTTTGTTACATGTAAAACATGAAATTTAAAAAACTGAGAAAATCAAGACATCTAAATAACAAGAATAATTTTACGCGGGTTTGAACAACGTTTTAAATCAGAATGGGTTTTGTGGAGAGTTTTAGAAATTTCACAGGTTGAAATCATGAGTCGGTTGAAGCTAGACCACCATTGAAAACCTGGAAGCACTGGACGGCCGTTTCGTCCAGGTATGGGACTTCTTAGCAGCGCGCATCCACGATCCCGCACCACGCGGGATCGTGGATGCGCACTGCTGAGCTACAAATCTTCTCCACTGTTTGTTTTTGATGTAACACAACTTTGACCTTAGAGATTTATACTGAAAAATACCTCCAACAATATTTTGATCCATATCAACTGCAAGAAGAGAAGTGAAACTCACGGTTCCGTAGTAAGTGAACTACGAGAAGTTATTGGTCGATTAACATTGCCATTATATGAGACAAAAGTCCTCAAGCGCTTTTTAACAATCGAATCCAAGAGCTTTGCATCATTATAAACTGACGAACCTTCTTCATTATAATTGCAAGCATTGTTAAACATCAATTGAAGATCAAGAACCATTTCATCGTGTGACGAGTACTGAGAAAGATATGCGGGAATAAAAGAGAAAATGAGAGAGATCTCTGTAAAATTAGAATACCTATTGTGAGATTTGATTATACGCTGAAAAATAAAATTTATAAATCGTATCATAAAAATATTTAAATTTATCAGCATTTAACAGAGTTCTTAATATTGGTCAACTCTGAAGTCTACAAGGAGTAGAAAGGTATGTTGAAATTCGTCAGTCTGATATTTCACGTATATTAAGCAAAGAGAAGCGTTCTCGAATTGTTACGTTTGAAGAGATTACGAGTTCACATAAATCTGAGAATGGAACAAAGACTAAGAGTCACAATGACCAAATAAGCTAACTGTATCGATGAATCCCAGAACAGCCAACAAGAGAGAGAAGTCTTCATTCAGAAGAGGGAATATGTATTCCACAAGCAGGCAGAAGCACGAACAATAACAACTCAAGCGTATATATACAGCATAAAAATGTCCTTGAGGAACGGTACAAAATAGCATCTTAAAAGAGACAACTAACCAATGACATTTAAGGTCCTCCCAAGTAAGAAATACAATACGAAGGTGAAAATGGGTGCTTTCGGAGCAAAAACAAGTCCAAATTTCAAAAATAAAATTAAAAGAATAAGACATTAATCAAGTGAGTTCTGGGGTTCTAGAACCCCCAACACAGATAATTTATTAAAAATAGTGGTAGACTTAGAGAAGTAAATGACTGCATAGTACATAATATGCGATTTTTATGCTTCGGCTTATCTGAATTATACTCCGATTGCCTGCTAGCCATATAATGTATATACTTACCTGCTTAAGGGGTTCAGCACACCAGTTTAACACTTTTGGAACTATTTGTTCGCATAACCCTATACTTTTGCACAGACAATAAGAACTATATTTTGAGGGTTTTAGCAGAACAGTAAATACAATAGAGGAAATTCGAGTACAATGAAAATTCTCATATTGGCATTTATTAAAAAGAACGAATAGAGTAAAATTTCCTTTCCACTAGTTTTTCATTATGGCTATACATTGACATATACAGTCGTCCGATAATGAAAAGCACCACTAAAGACGAACTCCCTGAATTTTCTAAGTCTATGCGTATTTAGCAATTCGACTGCTCCTGTGAAGTCAGTTGTATATAGGGTGTAAAATTCAGCAACTCTATCACTATACAGCGAAACACTATCCACCTTGGTTGAGCAAAGGACAGGTAAAAGTGGCTAAGAGTTCTATTCTTGCTCACATGATGGGCACAGGACATCAAGGTGACATGAATAAAGCTTTTACCATTATTCACCAAATCCCATCAAATTTGCCGAATGGTTTAAGAGTTAGTCTTTTGTACATTGCTGAAGCTACCAAAATCCACATTCAAAAATCTAACATTTGCATTCAAAGGAAGTTTGTATAACCACTCTAGTTACCTTGCTCATCGATATAGGAGTGAGTTTAGCTAAACTTGGATTGATTACACCTTTTCAAAAATATTAAAACAATTTTCTTATCTAGTTTCTTCTTGTAATTTTACATATTCTCTTTATCCGTCTTTTTATTCTTACATAGCTACCACAATACTGACCTTTCATCAAAGTATTTTGTCAATATTTTTTTAGATATTATATAATGTAGCAATTGTTTTAATTGAACTTTTCGAGTAATTATTTTGATTATTATAATCTTCTGTCATCCAACTACCCTATATTTTACAATCAATATGACATTGCATTATCCAACTACTCGATTAGTGTCAACTCTGAACATGTGAGCCAATGTTTGAAAGTTGATTATGTGAAAGTCACTGAGCTACCATCATTCAACACAATGAACAGTTAATAAACGGAATTATCTATCAATAAACAAATGTAATATAATATAATTCTTATAAAAGCTTACTTTTCCTTCATCCATTTTATGTTTGATCATTGTTAAATCTATTGGATTAGAAATTACTTGGTAATAATCTGGATGTACATCCCTTGATGGTAAGCTTACAAATGTATCTCGAGGATAATGTCCATCGTTCTAATTAAACACAAGATCAAAGAGAAGAAAGTATTACAACTAGATAGTAGAAATTAATAGTTTGGAAAATATTAATAAATCAAACTATATAATACATGAAATTATGTCTGTAAGAAGAAAGCAAGAAACAACTTACTGCACGAAAATAGTAAACAGTTTTGTATAAATTTTGCAGTCTTTTTAAAGTAGCCTCTTCTCCTGTAACTAATTGATGTCCAGATCGTCTAAGTGGAGTTTGATCATATTGTGGATAATTTATGCCTTCTGACAGTGTAGTTGATGATACAGTTAGATTATTTCCATTAGGACTGAATGGAACTGTATCTGGATTATCTGGTTTAATGTTCAACTACGAAATATGAATGAGAAAATAATCATACAAATTGTTAGCTTCTTTCACAGACATAAGACAGAGTTTAGTTAACATAATTATTATTATGGTTAAAATAATAATAACAGAACAACAAGAGCAAAAACTACTACGATAATTCATTAAGATCTACCATATTATACGTGCCAGGTTATTTTGTGATCTACTGTTCGTGTTAGATATTATTCAAATTAGTTAAGGTTTCCAGGGTTGGTATCAATGTAAAGTAATGCCAGTTAGAGAGTTTTATTTAGTGGGTTCAGTAATAAAAACGAGTAAACATTTAAAGTTCCTATAATCTCACTTGTGGAATGGGATATACTTGAATGTGTAAACATATTCAAGGCATTTTCAGAGAAGTAGGTATTGATGCAGCAAACAAAAGATGGGAGTGATTTTAATTCACAGACAGATTGTGATAAATAATTCTAGAGTGTGGAAAATTTACTGGTAAATTGATTCATATGAATAGAAGATTTAGAATGAGATTTTTTCACTAATGACAAAGAGTTATGGATGCTTTAACTAGGAGTAACAAACATTATCATAAGTGAACAACTTACTGCTATTTCTGAATTCTTAAGTTCTATACACTTTTTATGGGCAATCTCTTGCAAACGAATAGAATCCTGATGTATTGCACTTTGTTCAACATTATATTGTTGAGCATTGTTGAATACTATATCTAAATCCATGAGAACAGTATCTAATGAAGTGTATTCATATCTCTGAAAAAAAGTAGTTGAATATAAAATAAGATTGATGATCTATTTAATTCACATAAAATTAGGCGCAATTCGTAAAATATATCCAACATTAACCAATTAATCAATACAACTCGTCTAAAAAGAATACAGGATAATATTAATAATAATACAATCTCCACAAATCTCCCATATTAATAATAATCCAATGCTCAATAGTGACTAGTTCCAATATGTAACTCATGAAGTTCTAGTGAGGAACCGTGATCAGTGGAGTTCAGCCTGTGTGTGACGTGAGACAGTTATCCACCGCAGGCAGTGGATAAGAGGTTGGGCAAGATCATAGATTGACTAATGCTCCACATTAACACTGTTGGATCACGAGCTCAGTAGTTTAGAGGTTAAGCATCTGTGCCCAAGACAAAAGGTATTGGTTTGATCCCCACGTCTGAAATCGTGGATGAGCACTTCTCAAGACTCCCATGCTGTCCAGCGCTTGCAGATTTCCAATGATGATCTAGCTAAGATCAGTTCATGATTTTAACTGTAAAAATACTACAATCTCCATAAATCCCTCATAGTAATAATAGAAACAATTACCTTAATTTTCTTCTTAATACTCGAGAGGCATAATGGATTGGTAATCTCCTCATAGTAGTCAGGATATAATCTGAAACGAAAAACCGAAGACAAATAAATAAGTATGGTAAAAGATGATACGTGTGGATTTGAAGAACAATGTTATCTCCAAATACATATTACGCACACACCTTCTAGAAGGAAGTCGGAAAAATGGTGTTGACATTGGTTGACCATCTTCATTAAGAGCATCCAATACGACTTGTAAAAGTTTTTCTTGTAAGCGTCTATGGGCTCGTGAAGCACATGAATGTGGTAAATTAGTTCCACCTAGTTCACCAGTTGCACTTGTACTATACTGAGAATGCATGCTTGCTGGAGAAAGAGGTTCTCTTGATGGACTTCGTTTTATTGTATCTTCAGGATAGGGATTACGACGAGGGCGTCCACGTTTTCTTTTTATGGAAATTGAAGCTACAGATGAACAGCTTTGAGATGTACCAGTTGCTCGAGTATCCTCATCATCCCCAGAAAGTTCAAAAGCTGCTTCAGTACATTCATCTATTTGGCTTGAACTGTCCGGAGGATCAGATAAGTCAGGCATTGAAGCAAACTGCTCCACAACTTCATGTGGTATGTAATTTAAACGAGATGCACGCCTTAAATTTAAAAAGAAAAATGATGCATACATTATTATGAGCTGAAAGCCTAAGTGGCACAAAAACATATATTAAGACAAACGATGAAAACATATAGTTGGATATTGTTAGGAACAAACTCGAAATGTAAATGAAAGCTTTTACCCACTTACTTTCCACGTTCCCGGTTAGTTCGAACTGGAGGATGTTCTGCTTCACTACGTTTACCCTTCAAAATTCTGGCCAATGTTGCTGCATCCTGAAGAATAAATGTGACATTAGAAGTTGTAAGTATATTAATTATTAAACTAAACGAGGTCCTTTAGCTATAAGAATTGTTCATTTTAATGATACAATGAACCAAACTAGTTGGATTATGAGGTTCTTACTTGGTACATAATGACTGTGAAAGGAAAGCCAACAAAAACACAAATACGGGTAGTCCAAAACAAAATTATTAATTCTCAAACCAACCTGGTAGATAACTGACTTTGGTTCGTTAAAAGTTTTAGCATTCCGAGCTAACAGTAAAAAATCCCTTTCCAACTCATCCATGGAATTATATTTTCCAGACGAAATCCGTCTGGCAATCATTCTTAAGTCAATTGGCTCCTTGATAACAACGTAGTACACAGGATAAAGCTGAAATGGAGAAAAAGATTGATTAATTAAAGAATAACAGCATACAGTCCATATTTTAATTGTTCACATAGTTACAATAAAATCAAATATTTATACTACGTTGCGTAGTAAATGACTCTTCCCCCAAATGCCCTGGTACGACCGAGAGTGGGGAAAGTCCGCTCTCCCTCTCGAAATGCTCTCACATGGCCACGCGTATACACCCTCTACCAGGGAAGTCCTACTCATTGCCTTCTCGTACCACTGGTGTTGTTTACGAAATTGAGAAGACAAAAAGCGAACGTTCGGCGCCTTAACCGGGTTGGTGAACATGGAAAGTCCACCTAAGAGGGTTGGAAAACCCTGATTCCAAACCAATAGTGAACATGGGCTCCAGTATCCTGAAGGAACAAATGGCTTATGAACGAATCGTTGCTCACCGGTTACCATGGGACTGCATCTCCTCACGATGCTCCACTGCCTTGTGGGTCAGACCTTTAGGTTAAAGGCTCGGGGTGTGGCCCCCTAAGAAAACCACCTGCTTCGGTCTGGGCACCCGGGCAGTATCACAGCCAACACACACACAAATATGGTGTGGCGCATATATATTTAGTGCCCTCTTGAACTAAAGTTTATGTGTTGAAATAAATAAATAAATGACTCTACGCCAGTCAGTCAGCTACAACGTAGGATCAGGCACATACATCCAAGTTGCCGCACCTCATTAGCACAAGATGAACACCAAATTCATAGAAGTAGTTGATTCGATGGTGGTAATACATAAAAGAAAAATTGCATATAATGATATAGTACAGGAACAAAGAATTAGTTGGTAGAAAGATATAAAGCAATTTTAATCTCATAGTTTAATGGAAAACAGAGTGTCTACACCGACGCCATTGTGATCGATTCTGAGACATATCACCCAAAGTCTCCAACCATTGGTTACGATAGTTACGCGGACCCCAACCAAGCAGTCTGCATCTACCTACAACGTTAAGACTAGAAGTTAGTGATTTCAAGGACTAATGCCCTAACTTTCTTCAACGACTCTATGAGAAGTGCTTATATCATAACCAATATACGATGTCCAGGGTTACTGGTTTGCATCTGTTTTGAAAGAAAAGAGTACAATCATTTCATCAGGTGAACAAAAGTAGGAGACATAAACTAACACAGACTTTTTATTCTGAACAAGACATAGATAAATCACATTAAAGACCTTAACTGTCATCTGAATACACACACAACGACCTGATAGCTAATAAATAATGAATGTATATTTCAGTTTTACTAAATGTTACTACCAGTTAGTTGCACAACAAAAAGATTATTCAATTAAAATCAGTTAAGCCACCTTTATAAATTAATCAAACAAGAATAAATCAACAAATAACCAACCTCTCTAGATGGTAGATGAGTAAATGTTGGGGCTAATGGACGATCATTTTCGCCTACATATTTTGCAATAGAAGCAAATAATAGTTCATATGGATTATCCAACTGTGTTGAACTTGGTTGACTAGATGTTAAATTGATAGTGCTAACTTCTGATGGAGCAATACGTGAATCATCTGAAGCTGCGATTGACAAAGTTTCAGCCTTAAGAATTTAATTGGTAAAAAAAGATGATAAAAATATTTAGAAAGGATGATACTACTATTACTTTATTCAGCAATGTTTGATGAACGCAAATGTAAAGGAAGATATTCTAGATCAAACTACGGAAATACTCAAGAAGAAAAAGACAAAAATACCTCATTTATGACACTCTATTTTAAAGATAGAGAGATATGGAGATTATTCTATGTCTGACAATTTTTACTACGTCTGTTTTCACTAATTTATTGTATGCTGCTGACAGACTCAATTTCAGAGATTTTCAATTTGAATATGAATAAATTGAAGACAGATATTTCCGATGGTAATATCAACTGACCAAACACTTAAGAAGACAGAGTTAGAAGTCTAGCCTACAAGAGCTTGGTACGTGTTTCGTCATATAAAGGTTAAATAACGACATTTTTGTCCCATTATTGTACCGTTTATGGATGAGGCTAACTGGGATGTCAATTGCCTGTGTCAAGTGTACATGTGAACGAAGAGTTAGAGTATTTTTTAAAAAGGAAGATTTTATGCAATCCTCTACATTTTCTAGTTATTAACATCTTTAATAGCATTTGTAAGTAATATATTTAAGGTTGAACTTTATATTTTGAGATAAATCAAGCACTAAGTGGATGATTTATGATAATAAAATAATAAATTTGCGACATAATTAGGGCTGTTTTGATTGTATTAAATATCTTACAGCTTTTTTCTGGGCTGCTTACTTTTGTTAATTTAATCGGGTCATTTATTTATTCTCTGAAGCATAGACTTGCACTACGTAGTAAAAGATTACAAATTCGATTTCCTACCCACTGAAATATTACAAATATGCTAGTTACTGTTAATGATAGATGTGAATTTTTCAACTTTGAATTTCACCACATCATAAGCGCCGACCTTCACTATAAAGCTTAGACATTACCAATCATGAAGTTAAAGGCGTCTCGTAACTCTATTAGTTTGTCGTTTAAAATTACAGAAATAATGACGTAATTATCATAGGACTAAAACCAGATATCAGATAAATATATGAAGTATTTGATCAAATAAATTAGAAGACACAACAGAACATTATACGAAGGAAAAACTGTATGACAACCAATTTTATACGGTAAGATCAGTTATTTTATATAGCATCCCGTACAATCAAAATAAAAACTATATATATATATATATATATAGCAAAGGATCAACAGACCTCTTCTTCATCTCGTTCTTCGGTAACGAATGGACGCCTGCGAGTTGCACGCCTATCAGTAACTAAAACAGAATAATAAAAACACTGAGCAACTATATGCATAAAAACAGTAAGATGATGATAAAGTGTTCGAAAGGTAAAAATTAATCATTCTTTTTTGTTCTAAAATATCCTACTAAAAACTGTAATAGTTTAAGAACGTACCGCTACTGCTTGTTGAACTTGTAGTGGAATCAGTACTCTTGGTAGTTATTGATTGAAGAACCTGACGCTCGTGGTCAAAAACATCTTGTAATTCAACAGCTTTGGCGAACTCAGTTGTTGAGGCTGGATAGAATGCTTTTGTATTGGCTACTATTAAATTAACGTCCGTAGCCATTTGATCAACGCTTTCATACTCACATGCCTTAATTTTTGCTTGAATACGAGCTAAATCCATAGGTTCTCTTACTGCTTCATAATAATCTGGATTTGACCTATATGGGAGGGTTTTAATTGTCAAGTTTAAAGAAAGTGTCTTGTTAAAAGGAGATGATTAGGAATCATAAAAATAGTGTATTAGTTTATATTAGTTTGAAATAATGAGAAAAAAGTAAATACACGAAAGCAAAAAAGTTGTTAATTCCAAGTCATCGCACCAGCTTAAGTTGCAACACCATCTCACCATATGATGAATTAGTAGAAGTAGCAATGATAACAAGAGTAAATACAGAGAATATTATTTGAGAAGGAATTAGTTAGCGAAACGAAAGGTATAAAATAAACTTAAAACTGGAGATCAGAAGGAATATAAAGTGTAGTTTGATTCTGAGCTATCTGGTATCGATTCACAACAAGGCTCAGGTCAATTTTCAATAAGTTTACAGACAGGTGGGACATCTTATTTCGGCTATTCCTATGCTTCTTGCAGGAGAAAATACCAAAAGTAAAACAATACTTGGCTTCTGGGTTTTCATTTAGGTGTCAGCAGATATGTACTCAAACCAGAGCATAATCATAAATAAAGCGATAAAAAATGCAACAAACCCCCACCCATATCTTGTAACATTGACCAAGTTTCAGACATTTGATTGAAATGGGCAACCGCAAAACTAAACAAAAATTTTAACTATATTTGACACTTCTACCGACCAGGAACAAATAGTTGCTCGATCACTATTATCAGTTAATCAAGTTAAAATTTAACATAAAATCCCCCAAGTTTTTCTCATTCCACACAGATTGTCTAAATATGAAGTAGATTTGCAGGTGATTTCAATTACAGAATGCCAATATTACCAAACATAGGTTTAAGGCTGTTGATAGAACTCGTCTGTGTTTCCTGATATCAATTAGCTGATGTACAAGGAAACACAGAAGCATTTAGCAACTTTTTAGTTACTGTCCGATAACTCAAGAAGACACGGGACAAGAGACCACTGAAACATACATGTGAACGTTTTATTCCGTCAATCATAATAAAACGTGCGTCAACTCAACTTTTTATAACACACTAGCGCTATGAGATGAAATTAACAAGATGAGTAGGATAGGAGTCGAAATAATAATAGTATTAATAGTAGTAATAAAGACCAAAGATTCGTGTTTTAGTTGGAAAGGAAGGAATGAGGAAGAGGTAAGAGGAAATATTAGGGCTCGAAACATAAGGATGAATACAATTGTTCTACTAAAACCGATTTGAAGTCTAACTACTGATCATAGATGCATTCATCTCTCTTCCTTTAGATCTTCAATTGTGAAGTTCTTTTATGTACTTCTTACTCAATGAATTCATCCTTTCTCCCTTATTCACATCATCTATACAGTGTTTTATATTAATACCACTGAGACTACAAATGTCAAGATAGTTCTACTGTATGGGGCAGAAACCTGGAGAACTACGAAAGCCATCATCCAGAAAATACAGGTGTTTATTAACAGCTGTCTACGTAAAATACATCGGATCCGTTGGCCGACCACTATTAGCAACAACCTATTGTGGGAGAGAACAAACCAGATCCCAGTGAAGGAGGAAATCAGGAAGAAGAGCTGGAAGTGGATAGGAGACACATTAAGGAAAGCACCGAACTGCGTCACAAGACAAACCCTCACATGGAATCCTCAGGGCCAAAGGAAAAGAGGAAGACCAAAGAACACATTACGCAGGGAAATGGAAATAGACATGAGAAAAATGAACAAGAATTGGATGGGACTAGAAAAGAAGGCCCAGGACAGAGTGGGTTGGAGAATGCTGGTTGGTGACCTATGCTCCATTGGGAGTAACAGGCGTAAGTAAGTAAGTAAGTAACTGAGACTTACTAACTTTGCTAATATAGGATTTGTCTTGATACTTGTTGTGCTAATTTGGGGTACCAACAGAAGCCGACGAACGTATTTGCGAGGTTCTATGTTGCATAAAACTGACTGGCTAGTTGCAGTTATCGCGTGAACATTGAGCAGGTGATTTGCATGTACTAATATGATTCAGCTAAACAATCAATGGTTTCATAAAGTAGTGTTTTGTACCTGTTTGATCACCTTTATTTTTCTTCAAACTTACTCCTATATTTATGCTGTTGGTTCCCTTTACGAATTCGAATAAAGCCAGGATCACAATTGAGGCAGAATAAAATGAATTCAGCATATTTAGTGGCTTTTCTTCAGTTGCTTACCACCATATATATATATATATATATCGCGTGACCATTATACAAGTTGTGAAGAGTTTACATAAGATTCAGGTTACTTGAAAGTGGATATAAAAGACTTAGAGCAATGAGATTGTAATTTTCTAGAATTAGAAACCGAAGGGTTACGTAATAACTACACAAAATTTGAAGAGTTCGCATAAGTTCAGAAAACTGCTCCTAAATGACCCAGAATTGTGTGTCGATGTAGATGACGGCGAGGCACGAGTAAAACATATCCCAGACACCTTATTAGACGTAGATCTATAACTTAATCAACCGATTTGTCAATATTTACCTAGTACCCTACGTCTGACCTCACTGGTGCTACTACGCGATACCGATGAAATCACACAAATCAACCGTAAAATCCTCTAAATCCCAAAGACAAGTAATTAACACTTAGGTGCTTTTTGAGTTTCTTAAAAGTAACAACATACATCTACGGTTACAATAAATGCAGCATCGGTAAATGTGAGCTAAGATTTGGGTTGAAATACGATGTTAGGTGAGTTATTAGTGTAGTTCGCAAGGGTGTGAGGCTGGTGTTATAAAGTTTCGGATCGACATCCGCCAGTAATGAGAAAAAGAAATAATCTCAGATTTTTGCGAACTGAAATAAGATGAATAAAACCCTTCAACAAAACTTTGTTCAAACTGATCAACATGACAACTACTATGGCATTTTGTCAGAGATTTACAATCACTACTGATAATTCCCTAGAATCGGTGACCAATTTCGGTCGGGAGTCAGAAACATTTTACAATTATCGTGATTAAACCTCATATATTAGAAGTTCTGCAAGACTTTGCAAATAACATCATTTATAATATAATCAAACTTGACCAAGTAACACTGAGTCTAGCTCATGTGACAGAAAAACCTTATAATGAAAAATAATTTACCTTCTTGTCGGTAGACGCATAAATGTTTCAGATAATGAGCCATCCTCCCCACGATATGCCCGAATTCGATCAAACAGTTCTTGACACAAATCCAACTAGAGTAGTAAAAGTATCAAATACAGACATGTATACATTAAGAATAAGTAAAAAATACCAACTTTAGAAGTGAATATTTCAGTCTCATTCATAACGAATTATAACGGACCTATATTCTCCTTCAATTTGATGTTGATACACAGTAAAGAAGACCTCCAGAAGTAGGTGTTCGTTGAAACGAGACATGTTATTTAGATGATAGCAGGTGATCAACTTTTTGAAAGCCTATCTTTGACATACAGTACTTCAAAACTCTAGCTGAATAGAACTGGAATATGCCGATATGTTACGACTTCACAGTTGGGGTCCTACAGCTAATGCAACTCAATAACTTGAGACGCTATTAATATGATTTAAAATGGAATTCAAAAGCATTCCTGATATTGTTTTTTATCACCCTCTTAATAAAAGTGACAAGCGTTTCTTTAACTATATCATTTTTGCCCCCAAATGCCCTGGTATGGCCGAGAGTGGGGAAAGACATAAAATATGGCACAACCAGGTACCAGAAATCGTATGTGCCACACGATATTTTTGTGGGATGGAGTACTTCTTTGAAATCCAAACCGAGATAGGTAGTTTCCAAGAAGGGCTGCACACTCAACTCCTACAGGTGGATTCTCTGTTCCTCAATCCAATTAAAGCACCCTAAATTCGCTTTCTGTCCTCTGATTCCCATAAACAATATCGCCGCAGTGTGAAGGAGTTGTGTAGGACCTCAATTCTCTACTGGCTGGTATTATCTGTGCTTGGAAGTGTTCGTTTGATAAGATTCATATTCCCGTGGTGAATTTTCAATGAGAATAGCTAAAATGCACTTTTCCAAACGAGAAAAAAAAATTCGCTAAAAACTTGGACATGATGGGCCCCCTATAATCATAGCCCTATATTCTTGGACCTTAGCTGAAACACTTTACTCTTACGGCAAAAATGCTCCACACACTCAGGGAGTTGCTCTGGTGCTGTCCAAAGAAGCGCAGAATACACTTATTGGGTGGGAATCTTATGGATAAAGAACCAATAAAACATCCTTCAAAACAAAGGAGGAAATCACAATGAATGTTGTCGTGTTATGCACCCACAAATGATAGCAATAAAGATTATAAAGCTCAGCTTTATAAGAGGCTTCAGTTGATCGTAGAGAAGTACTTAGTAAAGGACCCGATCATCCTGATGAGAGACCTAAACACCAAGGTCAGAGTGGACATTATCGGGTATGATCAAATCATGAGACGACATGGACTGGAACAAAAGAACGAGAATGGTGAGAAGTTTGCAAAATTATGCGCATTCAATACAATGGTTATAGGCGGCATTATAATCACCCACAAACCCATTCACGAATCTACATGGGTTTCACCGGATCACATTACAGAGAACCAGACTAATGACAGACGTGACAGCAGAGAGAGATGACACGGATTCACATCACCTGAAGCTAAATGAGAACTGTGTACAACTGGTAAAACAGGATTACAAAAGTTCAATACAGCCTTCCTTCGAAATACTGACAGACTCAATCAATTCAAGACAGCTCTCAACAACAAGTTTCAAGCCTCGGAAGATTTACTCAAAGAAGATAAAACTACTATGGAGAACGATTGAAAAGCTATCACAGAAGTAGTAACTTCAATGTGCCACGAGGAGCAGGACTGCAACAAGCTTTATCATAAGGAATGGATCTATATCAAAATTCTGGACAGGATTCAAGTATGGAAGAACAAGACAACAACCAACAACAGCCAAACAAGAACAAAGAAAGTCAAGGTACAAGCTCAATAAACTGAAGCAAACAAACTAGTGAAGTGGAACATTAGAGCTGACAAGCAGAGATACGAAGAAGACCTAGCAACAAAAGTGTAAAAGGCCACAAGTGAAGATGTTAAGGAAAAATAGTAAACCAGAGAAACCAGTGAAGAACAAAGAAGGCAAGCCAATCACCGACATTCAAGGACAGAGCAAAAGATGGGTGGAACACTTTGAGGAACTCTTCAACAGACCAGCTCCATTGAATTCATCGGACATCGAAGCAGCACACACAGACATTCCTATAGTTTTCACTAAATCAATGATCGAATTGAGGATGGACATCATACAAATATAGAGCGGGAAAGCAACAGGACCTGACAACAAACCAGATGAAGCACTGAAGTCAGATATAAAAGTAACTGCAAAGATGCTCCATATTCTACTCAAGATTTGGAAGGAAGAACAAGTGCCGACAGATTACAGAGGACACCTCATCAAGATACCAAAGAAAAGAGATCTGAGCAAGTGTGAGAACTACAGAAGCATCACACCAGATATTTTATTTGAACACATAAATATTGGTAGAAGGGGGTACCGGATATATATACATATATATACACATATAGAGAGAGAGGCATCACACCATTATCGGTACCAGGAAGACTTTTCAAGAGTGCTGCTGAACCGGATGAAAGATTCAATAGACCTCCAACTTCGAGATCAGTAAGCTGGATTCCGTAAGGACCGATCGTGCATAAACCAGATCGCCACACTACGGATTATCGACGAACAATCAAGTGAACGGAACTCGTCACTGTACATCACCCTCCTTGACTATAAGGCGTTTGACGTTGTGGATAAGAGAACCTTATGGAACGCTCTTCGACACTATGATGTACCTAAGAAAATCGTCTGCATCACATGGAATTAATACGACAGACTACGTTGCGAAGTCGTGCATAGAGGACAGCTGACAGACGCATTCCAGGTGAGGACCGGAGTCAGACAAAGATGTCTACTCTCCCTTCCTCTTTCTTCTGGTGGTCGACTGGATTATGAAGACCTCGACATGAGGGAAAACGCGGCATACAACGGACACCTCAGAACCAATTAGACGATTTAGACTTCGCATATAACCTATCCCTCCCATCGCATACACACGAACAAATGCAGATAAAGACAGCCAGTGTAGCAGCAGTCTCTGCATCAGTAGGCCTCAAAATACACAAGGGGAAAACCAAGGTCCTTAGATACAACACGGAGAACACCAACCCAATCGCTCTTGATGGCGAAACTCTGGAGGATGTAGAATCCTTCACATACCTGGGAAGCATCATCGATGAACAAGGAGGTTCAGGTGCAGACGTAAAGGCGAGGATTGGCAAAGCAAGGGCCGCATCCCTACAATTGAAGAACATATGGAACTCAAAACAACTTTCAACCAATATCAAAGTGAGAATCTTCAGTACGAATGTCAAGGCAGTTCTACTGTACGGAGCTGAAACTTGGAGAACTACTACAACTACCATCAAGAAGGTACAAGTAATTATAAATAGTTGTCTACGCAAGATACTCAACACCCATTGGCCGGATACCATCAACAACAGCCTTCTGTGTGAGAGAACAAACCAGCTTACAACGGAAGAGGGAATTAGGAAAAGGCGATGGAAATGGATAGGACATACATTACGCAAATCGTCAAATTGCATCGCGAGGCAAGCCCTAACTTGGAATCCTGAAAGGAAGCGGAAAAGAGGAAGGCCAAACACATTACTTCGAGAAATATAAGCAGATATGAAAAGTATCAATAGGAACTAGAAGGAGCTGGAAAGGACTTCCTAGGACAGGGTTGGATGGAGAATGCTGGTGAGCGGCCTATGCTCCTTCACGAGGAGTAACAGGCGTAAGTATGGATAGAGCATACGTCGTGAAAATCATCAAGCTGAATAAAAAAACAGGCGCTAAATTGGAATCCCGAAAGAGAACGGAAAATAGGAAGGCCAAAGGACACAGCCAAGAACTGGGGGCAAACATCAAAAGGAGGAACACCAAATGGAAAAGATTGCGCAGGACAGAGTTCGATGGAAAATGCTGGTGGGCGGTTTATGGTCCTCTAAAAGGGGTAACAGATGTAAGTCGGTAAGAAGTGAATATGAGGTAGCATAACTTATACTAACTAATGACCACAATGGAAAGGGCAAAAGATTACAAAAATCACAACGATTCAAAACAAACAACCATATATATGTCCCTTAATACATTATTACCTGCGAAGCATTAGCCAGACGACATCGTTTTCGAGTTGTTACACTGCTCGATTGAGACTCATCTCCCGACACTCCAGTTACCGAATCAGTAGGAGATTCCGGGTTGTTGCGCTTCGGCATTCGCTGTGTATCTGCAAAAGAAACTACTTGGGACTCAATACTACCTAAAACAACTAATTATGTAGCCATGGTCACAACATTAATGAATATATACTCAGACCGACCAAGTCCAATTCAGGTTACATAATAATACGCAGTCAATGCATTGGTGGTTAAGCAATGGCAGAGTGAATCTTAGTCAAACGACAAAAGACTTCCTAAAACTCCACAAACTTGAGTACATTACAACAGACTACTGGCTACACCACAAGTGATAGAAGTATTAAAATAACGAAAAGTATGACGCAAAATTTGATTTACAGCTAGTTTGTTTGACGCGCAAAAATACACTATTTAGCTAAATGGACTTAAAACTTCGACCCGAAACCACGGGATCTGCTATCGTAAATCCGATTGATTCGTCCATAAATTACAGTCTCGTCGATTTTCCTTACCCACAAGATCCAGCGCCTATAAATGAAAGGTCTAGTTCACGAACCTTGATATATGCAGCGCAATTACGTCGGAAGTAGCGGGACAAATGAACAAAGCGCTTCGAGAAAGATGACATTCACTTTAAATGTCCTCAAGAGTGCAATGTCTAGCACTGTCTGTCATTTTTCCACTCATTTAGTAGACGAATGATGCAAATAAGAGAATGGTTTTCATCGAGTATTATCTTGTGGAGATATGCATGACAAGCTTATTTTGTAAATAGCTTTTGATGCTATTTTTATTTATTCTGTTAGTTTTTCATAGCCTGTACATGTACTATTAAGTGTATGACCTTGAACACACTTTCTCCCATCGTATTATACTCATAGCATGACACATGCTGTTACCTACTAACAAATACACTGCTATACACATACCCCTTACTGGAATCTTCAATCATCTCTAATTATGTATTCTGGTACCAAACTCAACCGGAACACGCACAAACCTACTGGATTAAGCAACATCTCTCATTTTCGTCGTTCAGTTGACCTATATGATGTTTCTGAGATCTGTATTTATTTCACTATCATATATTCGCTCTCTATTGATGATCTATGTCGAAATGATTGGAGGCCTACTCAAGTTAGACGTGAATGGTGTGACGAACCAACTAACGTCGAAGTCACACCTCGTGGTCAGCACCTTACGTGGACTACCCCCATTGACGTATCAAGGTACTATAGATGCTTTGAAGACTGTACAACACAGAGGACGTTATTACAGAAATATATTAGTTAAAGTAGATTCAAGCGAAGGTAAGACCACTGCCGCATGGGCCAGTCCATGGCATACGATTACCTGATGTGCGTTGGTTGTCCATGACCTTGGCAGGGAGCGATGATCTGTTCGACATTCAATGATCCAACTTCCGGATGATTTGGCGAGGGCTCAGTGACATTTCATTGGCCTTACAATGTATTAGTCTTTGTTGAGTTGTTTTTTTCGGACTTTGTTTAGAGATGTAAACGGTTTTTTAATGCCTGTTTATATCGGATTTTTAGCTACAGCACCATGTACATTTCACGCTTTTGTGTTTAACGTTTTTCGCTTTTGAACCATCAGTATCTCTTGATCTCTATATCGATTTTTCGTTTTTTCTCCGAGCCTTAAGAAACTTTCACTATTGCTCGCCTCGTGAATTTATTTGGTAATTTTAAATGTCCAGAGAAAACGTATTTGTGACAGACCTACAAGTTTCTTTCCGATTAATGACATTGTGGCGCTGAATAACTCATCGAAATAGATATTTCTGCAAGTATTGAACATTGAAACTGACTTCATTGGTCCAATGGGCCTCACCTGCACCGGATCAGCAGTTGGTACGCCGTGTTACCTCTTTAATCACTTTTTTACACCTTGTGTCTCCAGCTTTGTATTCAAGTAAGAATCTGTAATTCATGGGCCTAGCATTTTGTTTTGACCCCTCTAACGCCCCAAATGTCAATGATAGAGCAGCTTCCCTGGATTGGCTACGGTTAATTCAACTTACTGCCATATAATTTTGGCGGTCAGTCTCATTTCACATTAAACTATCTTCTTACTAGTGTTGCACGTAGTATTTTCGCGGTAAAATACAAGAAATCATGATGAATTTTGTGAATCTTATTCTATGATATTAGTTATTTCTGATACCGACTATCTTTAAACGAATATCAACAACTTACAAACTGGAATCCTGGACAAAATATTGTGATGGTACTTTATTCTTAGTTCTTTATGTAGGCTTCTTGAAAGTGGTATTGGAATGATATGTATTTCAGAACGGCATATTTCATTATGAAGAGTTTACATCCGTAAGCAGCATAAAACATACGTACTATCTATCTAACATTTTCTTTCTGGTATAGCGAAATAGTGACCATTCATCCCATGCATATAATGATCACTTAGCATGACCATAAACTATCACTTGTCATTACCTATGGTCACACAAACAATAATACACATAACTATATCTCTCCCTTATGAATCTGATTTTACTTCTGAAATATGGTCATTAGGCTGTGTACACATTTAACCAAGAAAGGTAATATTTGCAGCCTTTTAGAAGTTGCTTATGTCTGATACAGATATACAGCGATTAAAATTCTTAGTAAAAGTTTTAAGCTACTCTTAAAATAAAAGTAGAATCAGACAGTAAAACTCAGATCAAATAAAAAGTATGAAGACAAAATATGAGAAACTTACTATGGCATCCTTGTTTGAAGTGAAATTTCATTGTTCTTGACAATAATATTTTTTATGACGTCGTACGAGAATAAACCATTAGCCTACTTTTGATGTATTTCTGCTAGCCAGTAATTTTAGCAGAACCTGAATAATGAATTATCAGGAACACTGAAAGGCCATGTATTTCAAAAGAAGAGATCTCTTTCCACTTCATTTTTCAATCATTAAGTAGCTTTCCAAATTTAATCAGCATTATTTTAAATTTTTCTCCACACAACGTGGAAATAATAGCATATTTCTGACATAGCAGGAACACGACCATCATAAAGAACAGCTCAATATACCAGTGTGATGCCGTGATATCATCTTATTTTTAACGTAAAAAAACGATGAAAATCCCTCTGGAGCTTTTTTGTTGGACAGTATTTTTATTTATTTGTTTCTTCTCCCTGTCGTGTATTTTAACCTTTGCTCAGATCTCGTTTAACCACACATTTTGTTCTTCAGTCTTCCTCGTTTGAGCCTTTATTATGTGATTTTGATCAAAGACTTATCTTTTGTAACCTGATTTTCTATTGCATGTTGCCGGACTATGGACAGGAAGGCCGTGTTTGGCTAAGTTCAAGGTCACGGCGTGGTTCAGTGTGTGACTGTAAACCTTTTGGCCGTCTGCTTGAGATGATTGCTAGAATCCCTGCAGATAGATATTTGATCTCATCCTTTTGGGAATATTTTTTTTGATTCTCAGGTATCGAACTCATTGGTATTAACTGTTCGTTTTATTGTTTAGCGCGCTGCTTTGCGTTAGAGAAACTTCTGACTGTATAGCACAGGCTGTACCGTTTGAGGTAATTTGTATTTTTGACATAATTTGTTTTATTTGCTAAATTAGAAATACGGTATTTTACTCGGCCTCATATAAGATCATTGGTATCGCATAACTAAAGTTCTACCAATGCCGAGTTGCAGGTAAAATTTCATTAACACCGGTGGACACTATGATACAAAAAACAATGAAGCCAATAGCTCTAAATTGTCGTTCATATGTTTGTTCTAATAGAAAGCTATCGATAAGCTTTTGACATCTCATATAAGGCTGTTATACCCTAAATAACCTTTCAGATGTAATAAGACTTTAAAAAATACTTTAACTAGACCACTGTAATTGTACAGTGTAACATTTTTTCACACATGAACGACCAATAAAATGTAACTAAGCCACTTGCAATTTACTAATTAGGTTGAACTGTTACAACGCCTAAATTCTGATCGCTGAACTGTGAATTGTTTATCAAAAACCATAAAACTCAACATAGCTAACGCTGACCGGTCCAACCAACGAAGTCAATCATCCCCTGCGGTTCTGACTTCGATAGGCTTGTGTCTGAGTAAGGATTAGTGCGCTAATCTACGTTACTATAATAACAGACCTAACCTAATGTTGTTACTATCCAAAATCCCTTATTAGTACATAGATGGCATTCACCATTCCGGGTTTCTTCAGAAACATGGTTATACACAAATGTCAATAATGCTTACATAATATTCACCATATTCAAACACTTTTAGTAGAACTTAGAAGTTTATTGACTTGGCTTCAAAGAAAGAAGGGAAAAAAGGTCAATGTGAATGCCTACTCGTTAAAACCTTAATTACGATTCACACCATGTATTATACTGGATAGCCTAGGGAAGTCAGTTTCATTGTTTGTAAGAAACTTTGTGCCGGGAATAGAATAATATATGTTGATTAAAAGACGAATTAGGTAAATAGAGTAACTATGAATGTACTGCCAAGCCATACAAACTCTTCTAAATGTTTCCGCGTTCACCTTGACTAACTTAACCTACATTTCCTCGTAATGCAAGGTCGTGGACTAGAGTTCTTCAACCAACTCTGTCATGGTCTACCGTTACCGATAACATCCAAGTGCTGACCATTCTTTTGATGTCTGCCTCTTGTTCTTTTGCTCCGAAGATTCCAAGTTTTGGCTAGCTTTGTGATAGTTTGATGATGTTCAGTAAGCGTAATCTATTTGTCTCTAACGTATATTCCTAATTTCCTCAAATGGAACATGGGTTTTTTTCACCAGAATGGGTCATTATTCATGGTGCATTTTCAACGCATCAGGAGTATGCTGATAACTACTTAAGATAGCTTATTTCTTTCTGACGATGGTTGTGATAGTTGTCCACATTTCATCTCCGTATAGCATAACTATCTTGACGTCCGTATTGAAGATTCTGGCTGACATCGATTGACAGTTGTTCACCGATAATGCTGTCAAGGTACTCGGGAGATTCCACCTGTCCATAAAGTGTGATTTGTTTGGTGCTCTCCTCGTTGTATTTGAGGATGTTGCCTTTCCCTTGGGTATGTTGAGGCCTACTCATGCAGAGGATTCTGTTACACTAGTTGTCTTGACTAGCATTTGTTTGTGTGTACGGGATATGGCTGTGCTTGTGATAGAGCAATACACTTAATATGAAAAAGGGCAAGTTATGAAGAATTAACACAAATGCACGTCTGAGCCATGTCATACCAATATAGTTGTTCCTGTGTTTATCTTCTTTGACCCTCTATCCGTTTTAGGTGTTGAACGTGAATTTTTTCAGTTATCTCATGCCCAGATTCAAATATCGTGTGACTACGAATCAATACCACTACAAGTATTTGAATTTTCAGAGTTTGGAAAGGTTACTCAATTTTCTCAATGTGATGTAAACCCCTTAGTATGCTCAGTACGATATTCAAATAATCAAAGGAACGATCAATAAGATCAAAGATCTACGTAATTACATCTACCCATCATATTAATCAGCATGAAAGTGGGCAGCGATTTGTTACTAGAGCTGGTGGTTTATCTGAATGGTATTTATTGACATAGAATGATGGTTTTAAAATATCAGGTTGTAGATGTGTCCACCGATGCAAATGTTCCCCGGAAACAAATAGTTTTATAGGC